GAAGAGTTACGTCTGTTTGTCTGTGGTATTAGTGTTATCAAGAATGTCATGAAACATGACAAACTAATACATCTACATCATATAAATTTTTCCAAATTTAGATGGGTGGGTAGTACTTAAATCATGCTGCTTAATACGAAAGGTTATTTAAATATTTAAATCCTACTTTCGAAGCAAGATTATCAATTCTTCAATCAATTGGCCATATCAATAAAAGGAGTAAAGTATTTTATTCAGACGACCTAATCACATCATTACATCATCTTAATAAAACTATTCCTTTTCCATTCTGGGATTATACATAATCCTTCTTGAGATTATTTATAATCTATATCTAAGAGAGGTTCTCCAATTTTCTGTTATTTTCTAGATTTGCTCATTAATTCTCCACTTTCTTATTTTCAATTATACGTTCAGACCAAATTCACAACCGTCACAAACGACGCGAAACATTCATATGTAGTAGGTCCATTTTAAGCTTAATATGCTTGTAGCAAAAGAATGCTTCAACCATAGAGGTAACTCTAAGACGAGTAGGTCCCGAAGAAACGTGCTCAACTTTTTGGCTCAGCTCTAGTACTATCTTCGATCCCAAGCTAATCGATTCACCCCTCGAAACATAGGAAAATCCACTAACCCCTCATTTTATCTGTCAAACTTTCATAACGAATCAAAACAAACATAGTGTAGTACTGGAATGTATACCAGAATGGGGTACGTTAATCGATTTGCTTGGGACCAATAGCCAATTTAAAATCGTTAGTTTCGTATTGATTGTTGCTTCAACAGCGCTCAAACCTATGCTATGGAGAGTGGGCTCTGCAGTGAGGTCTCTCGAGAGGTAAACCCTCGAGAGCTTTTAGGTGAGTGAACTCGAGAGCACATTACATTCATTTCTCTAGAAAGAGTGATTTTAGTTTTTACCACATGTTCCATGTACCATTTATGTCATGTTCTCACCGTAAAGGTGGTGATTTGCTCATATGAGTTGCAATGCATACATCTTCAGAGGAGGCAAAATATACGTACGATAGAGCCGCAGTTATGTGAAATGACATCACTGTTCTCCAGAAATAATTTCGGAATTTGCTAGAATCCATCTTAGACTACTTCGGAAACTTAAATGCTAAGATTTTCTGCAATTCCCAACTAATATGATCACTATTGGATGGGTATCGTCCATTTGAACAGCTTAGCTGGAACAACTGAAGAAAGGAAACCATCAACAAACGGTCATGAAACTTAAATTTAACTTCTGCTCGAAAATATATAACGGCCGATTCAAATGTGCAGCGATCTGATAATCAAGCATATTTTTTTTTTTAATCTTGATATAAATTATTTGTCCAAAATAGATCAAACACCAATCAACTAGTAAATTGTGCACACGTGTGGCTTAGCTAAACGTTTTCCACGACTATGAAGACAGATGCCAGAAGTGTGCTTTGAGCATGGTAAATTCTATGGTAATTCATGTCGGTTTGTCGGTGAGGAAACTTTCATCTTGTATAGATTCTGAGTTATAACTAGAAGACCGTTATTTGTACTATGTTACCGTATTGCGATTCAAATCTTATCTAAAATGCACACTATTGAACAGGTCTCGTCAATTTGAACATTGTTGCCGAAGATAGGAGACTGCTATCTGGTCTAGATCGTGAGTTACCGCTAGAAGAACTTTATTTATACTCTGGCGTCACCTAGTAAATTTCCAATAAAACTGTTCGCTACTGAACGGGTTTTGTTCATTTGAACAATTTTGCTGAAGACAGGAAACTTATATCTGGTCAATGAGTTATCAATGAATGAACTTTATTTGTACTCTAGTGCCACCTGGTGAGTTAATTCCTAATTAAAATGTTCCATCCATTTGAGCAACTTTGCTTAAGACAGCAAACTTCCATCTGGACTCGATCCTGAATTATCACTATAATAACTTTATTTGTACTTTGGCGCCACCTAGTGAGTATATTTTCAGCTCATCTATTTACTACTGAACAAATGTCGTCCATTTAAACAACTTTACTGAAGAGAGGAAAATGCTATCCGGTCTCGATCCTGAGTTATCAATTAAAGAACATTATTTGAACTGTGGCGCCACCTAGCGAATCAATTCTGAAGTGCCACTACTAGATGGAAATTTACCAACTGAACAACTTTGCAAAATACTGAATCGTTTTATAATGTATGGTTCATGAACTATAATTGGAATTGTTCGCGTGTAACTTTTTTGGACGCGAATGCTGGAAGGTTTACTTCACTAAATTAAAGTCACGCATAGCTACAATGGGTTGTTTGTTTATAAACATCAGAATAATCATACGCTTAAAAAATTCCACACATTGGCATGGACGATACAATAGCCTTACAAGGTTTCTTTACAAAATGGAGTTGAGGCCTTTTCTCCCTTTTTATGGCACAGCTAGGGGCACGCAATAACCTTTAACTCCAACGCAGGCAACGGCTGTATTTAAATTAATTCCATTTACTACTGATTTAATTACATTAATTACACAACTGCACGAACAAATTTGACGTTTAAGTGGTGCCATGTTTACTAAAAATGAACACATGAATACTGATCGGATAACATTTAAAAATGGCCTATCTACTTTTGTACACAAAACTTGTTAAGCCCTTTTCGCGCGAACCGAAGTACGTCCACGCAAACCAACAACACCATCGGGTAGGGTAAATTGTCCCCTTCCCGATAGTGCCCTTGGTTTGCGTGGGCGTTCTGTGGTTCGCGTGAAAAGGGCCTAACAAATTGTTTATAAAGTTGATATGCCCTTTTCTAAAGTTACGCGAGCATTACATCATGTGTTCATTTTTAATAAACACGGCACCGCTTAAACGTCAAATTTGGTCGTGAGTTCATTCCGTGCATTGGTCAATAGTGCCTTTAGTTCATAAATGTCATTCATACACAAATGTAAACAAACACGGCACGAATAGTGAAAAGAACGTAAAAATACGAGTAAATATTGAATCTACAAATAAATAATCGCGATTACGTAAAGTACTAATTATTACACAAAATGGCATTAATGTATTTCAATGCATCAATACGCATCCCCAATACGTTTGGAAGCAACGAAAATACATGAGTGGTCTACCCCTCGCCCGCTAGTGTGCGTGCATTAAACGTCACTAATCTCTATGGACTATGTCGAGTAGTCGTGTTGCCGGTTTATCCAAAATGGAAAGCTTGTAGTTTTATTATCTTTTATATTTTCAATAACAACGTGTTTTCCAGACGATGATTTCATCTTTACGATAAATAAAATATTGCTAATAGTAGGTAAATTGGCAAATCAAAGTTGGCACTCGCGGAGAATAGAAGAACTATGAGAGTGATGATGGTTTCAAAATTTTACACGGTGAGGTATACGAGTGCAATCTTAAAATGCTTTTGTTTTGCAAATGGAGCATTTTATTTAAATCTGGTTAATGCTACGTTAGTAGAAAACTTGAGGACTACTCAATAGACATATAATATAGAAAACATAATTTCTTTTCAGATTTTTAGGTTTATACATAGATTTCAGCTTTTCTACCACTGGCAATTGGTCCTTGGATTGCTGATAGTTGATTTTTTGTTGTTGTGTTGAATTTTAGCGTGTTGTAGTGCTGAGCCGAAAAAAAATGCGATGTTTTTCAAAAGCAGTTTTCTACCCAAAGAAATAAGATAACTGCTTGAATAAAAGGTGAGTGTATAAACACAGACAAACAGACGTAACTCTTTGAAAAAGTTTTTCTTGAAAACATAGTATCTCAAAACATAGGACCTCAGTAGCGACATCTTTCAGGCTTCTCGCGGAAAACAAGCTTGCTCGCTAACTCGCAAACAATATTGCATAAAAGTTCTATAGAATGTATAGAAACGTCAAAGTGATCCGATGCCAGCGCTGCGGCGAGTAGTTCGCGGAACTGATAATATTCAAATCAACCGTTAAATGCGTGAACGAAGATACACAATGAAGAGTTACGTCTGTTTGTCTGTGGTATAAAGATACAATAGGCGAATTCAATAGTAACTAAGCGATCGATTCAGCCTCTGGTGGTGAATAGGGGAACCATCAAAAGAGTGATGAGGGCTAAAATGTTCGCCATAAAGCATAGGAAGCGGAATATATTTTTACCTTTTCTGATTAATTTATCCATCGCAGGGGCTTGAAACCATCATCCACATGTAATATTTTGTATTCTGTATCAATTTTAAAGTGATCCGGCTGGTGCTTCCACATATTTTTGTTAAGAAAAGTGAAGATTTATAAAACTGCCCCAGCCGTTATGAACTTCCGGATTTTTAATGTGGTGTTATTTGAGCTGTACATCTGTTCAAATATGTAAAAAATAATAAAATAAGACCTCTCCCGATGGAAATATGCAAGATATGCATAAACATATGCATTAATTAGAGATGTAAAAAATGTAATTTTGATGTAAACAAACGGTTTGGTTGACGTTTCCTTTCATAATCGCCTAGCGCCTCTATATTGGTGAAGCATAGAAACAGCCCATAATCGGATCAAGCTTTGAAATACACATTTTTGATGTAGTTCTTGTAGTTTTACTCGTAAAAGCTTGGGAAGTTGCTGGTGGCTATTTTCACCAACTTTTATTTTTTTTTTTTAGACTTTATTTAAGAGATTTTTAGCCTCTCTCTTAGCCATCTCTTATTTTCACCAACTCAAGCCCTCCAACTCCACCTTCTGAGGATGACAGTAGGTTTCCTCTTAAGAGCCACGCACAATTCATCCGGATCATATCCGTTGCGGCAAATAAGACAGTTAGAAATCAACAATAGATTTACATAGCTGTCACTTTGCCGCCACGAAACAGATCCGGATCCATTGTGCGTGGCTCTTTACCGAAGTCGATTTGATTTTAACAACTTTTCAACTCGACGGATGACGGCTTTTCGCAGTCGCAAATCAAATAGAAAAACTCTGAAAACAGAGGAACACGGAAGTGGAAAGCAGTTTCACTGAACTCACCGGGTGTAATGTTGCCTCGTGGTTTCGCTCCAAGGATTGCCAAATTCACGTTCGCTTTCCGGCCATCGATGATCGGGTTTGGTTCTTTGCACGCCCGTTCCGCACTCATTCGGTCTCCCATAATGACCTTCATTTTTTTAAATAAAGAAAATCGAAAGAAAATATTATTGTAGCTCCACAGCGCTCCACCCCGACCATCCGGCAAAACAATACTTACAAATCCATAACCCCGGCTCTTGTTCGTCGTTCGGTCCGTTATCACCACCGCTTCCTCGATGTCTCCGTAGACGGAAAAGTGTTCCCGCAGGCTTTTGTCGGTGGTGTGGTAGGGCAGGCCGCCGACGAACAGCTTCGTCCAGGTGGTGTCCTTTTGCTGCACGCCGGAGCTACCCGTCGATGAGGGAACCATCGCGAGCGCGTCGGCCGCTTCCTGTGATACTTGCATCAACATTATCCGGTTGTTTTGGATGTCGCTTTCGGTGATTTCACTGAAGAACAGCGTGGCTGGTTTAGGTTTAAAAGTTTTTTTTTTATTATTTATGTCTAACTATGACAGCCTTGGGCTCTAGCTCTAGCAGTCGCGATGTCAGCTGCGCGAATTTGAAATATTTTCTGACAACAATCAAAGTACGCGGGAAACTTGGCTATCGAGACGGCGAAACACAAGAGGAAAACACAAAACAAAAATCACAGATTGAATTCCGTTCTTTGGCTCAGCATTTGAGGGGGGGTTTGCACACACTTTTTATTATTATTGTAAAAACTAACGTTGCGTTGATTGGGGTTTTTTTTTCGCGTTTAGATTGATTCACATTTACGTATTGTTGATTGTGTTGAGTTTTTGTTTCCTTAGTACGATGAGATCATTGAAGATTGCACTTTCTGAAAGAGGAACAAGAAGAAAATAATTTCAGTTAGTTTTATTAAGATTGGAGCTTACAAACTTATTCCGTTCTCACAAAATATCACAGATCGAAACTGACGGAAAACCATCTGTGCCGCTAAATATGATTTACAATTCTACTTTTCTGAGCTACCCTCCATCCTGAACTAATCGTTCCATCCGATCCACAAGCTTCGATTTCCCATGTGCAGCGAGAGAGGCAGTTTTAAAGGCAAAATAGTCGTAAATTTGCAACCTAATCTTCGATTTATTCGAGTTTGTCGCATTATTTGCCAGAACGGCACAGCACAAGGCAAGGGCGGCGGGAACGTCGCCTCGCCTTGGGCAAATGGCATCGTCCTTTTGCAGTCAGACGATCTCGGTGGTGGCAGCGCAACAAAAGGGGGCGCCCCCTGGTAAATGTAATAATCGTAAAATACATTCATTCACAAAACGCCATGGTCCCTGGAACTCGACAAAGCAGCCAGCGACGACAGGAATTGCATCTGCCACTGTAGCCGACATACGGAGAAGTTTAACCCGGGGTTGTAAGTAGTTAGTCCTCGGAGAATGCATGACGACGGCGTGACGATCCCCGAAAATAATGCTGCCCATTAATTTTTCTTCCTGCACCGGGGTGCTGTGTCGGATTTGGGATTTGATGGCAGACACAGGGCAATGACTGCGTTCTTTTTGATTCTAATCTTTTTGACGCTGACGAAAACTGAAATTCTGTTTCGGTTTTTGATGATCACAATATGAAGTAAAAGAAATATTTATTCACATATTTTTAACGATTTTAACCAATAATTCATTTTTTAATGTTTTTAACTAATTCATTCCCAACCAACCAAGGGAGCATGCCGGGTAGAGAACTACTTCGGCCTAATCGCCCATTTTGGGCCTATCGAGCAGAAAACTTCAAATAAATCCATGATATCAGAGCTAACAAGTGAATTATGCTTTTAGTAGGATACTTTAGTTAATAAGCTACCGAACGAAGTCAATTAGAACGCATGATATGAAGGTTTGCACGCATTATTCCCAAAAACAAAAGAAGAGCTCCGAGCGAATCATGTTTTATCTTCATCCGATAGGCCGAAGTGAATTCATTGGCGATTCAATGGCGTTTCAATGCGTTAGGCCGAGTTTAGAATCCGTAGGCCGAGTTTGGTGTCAAGAAGCAGTGTTAGACTTTTGACAATATATCAACGACTGTTTTCTCTTTATAAAATCTTATGGTACGTACGGAAAGGTAAATAAATTTGAAAGCCATCAGTAATAATAACATTCCGTTTGGTGCTATACTGCGCTAGATTAAGAAAGACCAAGTGCGGGTTGTGCTTAATAGGCCGGAAATTAGCTAGTTAACCCTATTAATTTGCTACGTAAAATTTAGAGAAGATCAACCTCCTCTCCTCCTTTTCACACATCTCTCTTCTTTCTTAGAGCGTGGTGTACTTAATGGATGCTCCCCAATGCATGCATCAAGAGCAAATTTTCATTTCGTTGAAATTAACAAAGGTAAACAAAGTCGAGCTATCAGCTCCTGCTATTACACTATATACTGTCCGAATATAAGATCACATCCCATTTTTAAAATTATTTACCAGCCAAATGGCTTTTGGACGTTATCACCTTCCGGTAAAAATATTTTTCGATATTACTTAAGTCACCCGATTTCTATGGAGATGCCGTTTGTCTTAAGTAACAGCACAGAGAAACCCGTGAAAATACAACAATTCTAGATAGAGCTGGAATTAGGGCGTAACAGCTTTTGTAAACAATGACTTCTCTCGATGATTTCTCAAAAGACATGCCTCTCCCTGGCGAATCAACATTACCATCGTATAGTGGAAGACTTCCCCTACCCGATGGATATGTTGGTTTGTGTAGGCGTGCCTTGAGTTGCTAGAAATCTACGAGAGAAGTCATTGTTTACAAAAGCTGTTACGCCCTAATTCCAGCTCTATATAGAATTATACTATACGCCCAGTAAAGTTGGGAAACATTGCAACCCGAAAGATTGCGAAGACCGCACTGTGAATTGAACTCGCCACCTCCGGCTTGGTAATACCGTGCCTTCACCAACTAGGCAATGTGAGGACCTTAAAATATATCCTGAACATCAAATTTGGAAACAATTCTGGATGTCTGACTTAAAGAAAATTCTAAACTCCAAACTCTATCACTCATTCTATTTAAAAAATCACAAACTTGAACTTATAATTAAATCTTTGACTAGGAGTTTTTTTTCCGTCAATCTTGTTTTCCGCACAGTGGTCCAGAATGCAGATTTAGGTGGAATGATATGTTTTGAGCCTGAAATTGAAACTTTAGACTAAATGTCTCTTCTACAAAGTTGTTCCTTATAGTTAGGCCCTCATGTTTATGACAGTGAATTCTAGGGTGGTTCCTATTATCATTAAATTCAAAAATCTAACTTTTTTATTTGAATAAATTAAGGTATACATTATTGAACAAAGTTGTAGCTGAGTTAATTTTAAGCAACTTTGTCGAAAATAACTTTTTTGTATCTCTGAAATTGGCCGATTTAGAGCTATTTTCTTGAATTGAGTTAGGGTGGCTCTTATAAAAACAGTTGTTTACTCTAGTTTTCTTATTTCGAATTTCTCAGCTTAGGTGTCTTGAAATAACTTTTAGAACCTGTTCGTGGTTTCCATGAGCGTATGTTTAATTATAATTCCGTTCCAGATCCTACGATCTTTGACGAGATTTGACCAGTTAATTTTGATAATGCTAGCATAATCACTTTGCGACTACTTCATACGATTCTCAACTGAAAACCCTAATTTTAATACTCATTTTAATCGAGCAATCAAAAAACAGAAACCCTCAGTTTTATTTCGGAAAAAGGGACCGAATCGAGTAAAATACAATGAGGAACAGCTCCAGCACGGTTCTTACGGCTGGATAGCAGAAGCAGCTCCAATAAAACCCATTCAAGTGTGACTCAGCCGAATTGCACCCAATCGTCGTCGAAAAATTGCGCCCTGTGAGGCACGACGACGACGATAAAACAAACGAAAAAAAAACAACAACAACAACAACAATAAACAAAACAAACAAAAAAGTATCCTCTTCAGGTAAAGGCACTTATGGCCGAGTACATAAATTATAACCAGACTTCGGTCGAATGGTAGCAGCACAGATCCGAGAATGAACGTACAGTAATCCTTCTATTTGAACGGTTCCATCAGTGTGTATTACCTATTGAGCACACTAACGGGGAGAATCCTATTCTGAAATATACAACTGGAGTTCAGGAACACCAGGAACAGTAAAGCACAAACCGTCTAAACCTAAACTGACGACGAGGACGATTCCCATGTTTGGAAACCGGATCTATGAACACATGGCAGGAAGGTACCTACTACCTATTAGAATAACTATTCCATTCGCACTGGACCCCACAAGAAAGCAACGAAAGCCACTGTTCGCTGACAGCCCAAACCAAAAACTTGGATTCCAATCCAGACCAACTATACGGAGCCATCACTAGGGCTGAACAGTAGCCGGAGGGTGAAGCATGCGAAACGGGAAGAAAGCGATTGAATTTATGAATTCGATATTTCCGCTCCAAGCGTTCGACCTTTCCTCTCCACGGTTCCGCGCCCTATACTCGAACGGGTGCGCCGCGGTGTGATCGAATTAGACCCCTAGAGGGGAGCTTCGTTTTTCGTTGTTCTTTTCCTAACTTCGTTAAATATATTCAAGAAAGGCCAAATGGGAATCTAGGCACGCTAAACAGCTGATCGTTCTGAGCGTGACGTTGAAATTTATGGGAAATTTAGAAGCACTTAGAGCAAATGGAATGAACAGCAATGTTCCGTGAGAAATCTCTGAGTGCGACCTGTCAACCTGACAACAGTGGTCATCTGTCAAGTGTCACTTTTTTCACGCTACCAAAATGGTTCACTTTCGGCGGAGTTCGAAATGGTGCGTGACACGGATGAATTGTAGGCTTGAGAATAGCTAATAAATCAAAAGAAAGCTAGATTTCCGACCAAGATAAGACATCAGTTTTCCGTTTTCTTTTCGCATTAAACGGAGAAGGGTTAGGTGTGGTTTGGCATCCACACCTTTTCTTACAAATAAATAGCAGCAGAGGCTATTCGGACGTCTGACTGCCGATGAAAGAAGCCGTTGTAAGCGTTAACGGAAATAGGTATCAATTTAGCAGGGCATGTCCTTTTGTTGTTAGGTTCCGGCACCCTTGAAGAATCAATTTGTGTCGTCCCTTCATCTCAAACTTCGCAGTAGCTGGTACTACTTCTCCACCCAACCGACTACTGTCTGCTAAGTATCTGCAGTTGAAGTTGATAAATTACTACCGATGACCTTTTCGGCGTTCATCGTCCTTTCGTTGCTTTGTTGGTGCCCGCCCGTATGTGCGTAATAACAGCCCATTGAATCGGGTCTCCACCTCCTGTTAGCCTGGGAGTAAGAGCCTCAAGGGACATTCGATGAAGCCATCGAAGCGAGATTTAGGACGGACATTATTTCCATACACTCATTTAGGCGCACATACGCTCATATTCATACATACACACAGAAAGAACGACAATCCGAACAGTCATGCTAACAGTAAACAACGACAACCATTAACAGATACGGGGAAATATCAGAAAATTAATTATATGCAAGCATGAATAGGACAGTGAACGAACCCGGGGCGCAAAAGGGGACGGCAACCCTTTCCCGAGGAATTGTTATGTTCCATACCCATTTCGAGTTACAGTGTCAGACGAAATATTGGCTATGGTTGGGTTTTTAATTTATCCGAGCTACTGGGGTGTTTTCCGTCTTCGTCAAGTTCTTTACCTATTATCGTCAGGAGAGGGTCACCAGTTTTGGCCAATCGATGAAACATGGTGCACCCCAGCACAGTGTGGCGACTCCTAACAAGACCCGAACAAAATTCCTAACTGGTTTTTAAATAATAATGGTGATAGAAAGATGACACCAGTTTGATAGT